ATGAGGGTATAAAAAAAATCAGCAGATTGGAAGATGTTTCGTATAAACTATGAAAATATGAAGCAGTTCATTGAGGAAAAACTGATAGCATTGTCATTCTTTACTGCCAGTTTACAAACTATAAAGGATATCAGTAAGGTGCGCATCAAAGGGACCGATAAAGATATCTTCATTGCTCTACACTTCTCCAGCCACTTTGAATGATTGACTGTTCCCTTTGAGTCTGGAAAAAAGGTTAATCAACCTTGGGAAACTGGCTTATAATTAGACGGAGGAGCGTTGCATGCCTTTACTTGATTGACATTCCAAGTGCTTTTAAAGGCATAAGTAAAAATTAATCAAGTAAGACTCTTCAGAACCTTTCCTAATTTCGGACCTCACTTGCCATTCTTGGAAAATCGTAGGATGCATCTCCTGAATCCATTAATTTTCTTGAAGAGTGTTGCCATACATATGATAAAAAATCTGTGCTACTAAAGCGAATGACTCGCGTTTCCAAATGCTTCTAGATATATGTGGTGAAATTGTCAAAATTAGCCCATCATGTAATGTTCACATTGCTAATCTTCCATCTTGCCAAAAACTTCTGATGTAACATATCAAAAGGCTAAATCAGCATATGTTCATCAGGAAAAAAGCAAACATCGTAAAACCTAGCCTTCCTTGACCCAAAAAAATGGATATGACTCAACTGTGACTGATGACAATATTGAGTCTTTATGGACAATGGGCCTTATATCACCATCGCACCACAACACACCCAAGAAGATGTATTGGATGGTGATGTGTCTGAGGAGGATGTATCATGGGATGCAAATCTTGCCAGAGAACATTACATCCATTAATGAATATATATATATGTATTGATAAAAGAGTTAACACAAATGATCATATATAAAGTGTAATAGACTTTAATATATATATATATTAAACATTGATGTATATTTATGTAATTATTATGATAACGCTGCTCAACATGATTCACTTTTATATAGGAACTAGGCTTAAAGGGCAGGGTAGATGCAACAATAGGTAATAACAACAATGTTGAAATTAAACAAAATATTTTCTTATATTCTAGACATACACCTACAATATTATTCACAAAAGGATTGTTTACTGAAAGTAATTATTGTTACTATTTTTAACAATAATGTATGTTCAAAGATTCACTAAAATTGATCTTTTTCCTTACATGTTTTGTTACATTTATTTCCTGAAATATTTAAGCACCACTGATGGGAAAATGAAGACAATATATACTACTTGTTTAGAAAAAACGTATCTGAACTGTTATTTTTTACTGTATATTAAAACTTGATAAAATGATCTTAACCCACTTTACAGGTTTGTGTGAAAATGTTCATGATGACTATAAATCATCAGTGGAAGTTTCTGTATTTTCTTATCAGTATAACCTTAGTTATGTAAGAACACCAAAACCCGGGGTTTCTGTAAGGGGAATCACATGGATCTCCACTAGTCCATAAACTATAAACTAAGATATTTTTCATTTGGTATCGCCTGTCGGCGACGAGGATGACATGGCAAATGACATGTGTGTGTGTGTGTTATTTGTGTTTCAACAACATATCGGTTAGGTTCTTCAAAAACAACTATTGACTTTCTTAGGTTTCTGTTGAGAAAAGATAAACTTGTTTACTTCCGGCTTTATAATTATAAAGCCGGAAGTAAACAAGTTTATAATTGTATGATTATAATTATAAAGCCGGAAGTAAACAAGTTTATAATTGTATGATTATAATTATAAAGCCGGAAGTAAACAAGTTTATAATTGTATGATTATAAGTAT